GAGATATCATACAACAAGGAAATGGGCGGGTTACAACTTACAAACTCCCAGGACTGCTTTTCATTATGTTAAAAGAAGAAACAAGACCGTTACAACCAACATAAGAACGGATATGTTTCTTGACGAAAAGAGCTGCGCGGAGGTCATCAGCATTTTCAAGTTAGTGGATCCTACTACGAACATACATTTTCCAAATCTATCAGAATTTCCAAACGTATGTTTCTCTATACTTCGCGTCGCAAGAACTAAGTATTCTCTCGCCGAATCGGAAGAGCGTTTTTTTCAGAGCCATGAATGTCCTTTAAGGTGTCCTACGAAAATATGATGAAGGATGAAGCTTTTTAGTGCAATTTCACTATCAAAAAATAAAAAGTGCACTTTTGCGCTTTTAATATCTGTCTGTCTGTCTTGAGTCACAAAGGCTTCGGAACTACACCACTTACAGACGTGGTATTGTTGTCATTCGATCAGAATTTAAAAATTATTTCATGTTTATTCTCGTTAAGGCATGAAATGTCCATAAGGGCTGTTAAAATCGAAAAATCAAATTTGAAGTGCACTCTTCGCCTCGTGCTCGATAACTAACTAAATATACTTAATTAATTATTACCCGAAGAATGGAGTAGGGAATACTCCATGTCCATCAACTCGACAAAAACGGGGCTGGTTCTCTTCACAAGGAAAAGAAAAGCAGATGGTCTTCGAACTCCCCCGCTATTCTTAAATATCTTAAATTTTCAGAGTCCATGAAATATTTAGGTATCACTCTTGAAAAAAAGACTGAATTTGAGCAAACATATCCAGCTCAAAGTCGAAAAAGCAAAAAGGGCTTTCTGGTAAAGTTGCCGCGAATTGGGGTGACTGCCGTGATAAGACCTATGTTCTGCCATGGAACAATTGATGTTGGATAGCAGAGGTATTGAGGTGGGCCACTCTCGAAATCTGGACGAGGCGATTGCCTATCCTAAACGGGCGATTGGACTACTCACTCCTCAATTCATATTATCGAAAAACTGCCACATCTGTCTTGATGAGGGTGTAGTACCCCAACCAGACATATTCATCAGGATGGATCTAAAGTAATGGAAGGAACAGGCACTGATATTTACTCCAAAGAACTGAACTTCCATATCACCCAACCACTAGGCCAACTTCCCACAGTATTCCAATCAGGGCTCTAGGAATAACGCTTCGTGCAAGAAGAAAAGTTCTTATGCATAACACAAAGAACAAAACTATCAAAATTTCCAGTAACAACAGGGCTGTCCTGCAGGCACTTGGTCACTGTAATATTACCTCGAGCTTGGTTTCCGAATGTCCCCATGCACTAGAGCAAGCAGCAACATCCTTGAGCTCCCATTGGTCAAAGAGCATGCTGGAATGAAAAAGGCCTAGGGCTAGGTAGAACATGATGTTAGATTGTCACCATGTGAGAGAATCCTTCAACGGACCATCTCGTAACCTGGCGCGTTTTTGCACAGGGCTATCAAGAAATAACCTGAGGTTGTGGGAATACTTTTTGGGTACTGCAAACTAAAACACATGCACCGCATTGATTTGGTAAAATCACCATCCTGTAGAGCATGTTACACAGACGATGAGACGGCACACCTGAATTTGAGGCCGAGTTACGCCCTGAACTAGTTGATACATCCTTATTTCGAGTTCGTTTAGTATGCTTGTTTTGTACAGTTACCGGCATATTAATACCCCCAAAAAGTTATCATGACTCTTTCCCTTCCGGTTTTACCGGATGTGAATACCAACTTTCTCATTTTAAATAGAACACCCTGTATTTTATTGCATTTTCGAAATCTACATGAAAATGTACGTCGTTTGATACCACATTTCCCAGCAGCAAAGGTTTTCAAGTTATTCAATATTTTTCAAAATTTAACTGCTTTTCTTTAGGGTCCTGTAAGTCATAGACTCCGTTGACTTGAATTTCAAAGAGTCTTCCAAAATCAACAATACTGACTTGATGATACATGAAAATTATTTAAATTTTGATTTTTTTTAAACGAATGGTCAATTTTAATAACTTCGAGCCTTAAAAAGTTGATTTTTTTATGAACCCTGCTTTATTTTTTTGCACTTTCAAATGTCGAAAAAAAATTCGTTTTGTTTAAGGTTTTCTAAAATTGTGACCGTTATGCATAATTTTCTTAGGAGATTCCAAAAATACAATAAAATCTATTTAAAATATGAAAGTTGCTATCCACATCAGGTGAAACCGGATGTGACACAATGGCCCGTATGAATAAAAGTAAGCAAATGCTTATACTTGCAAAATTCAAAGTAAAATACTCGTAAGTGTCCCTTTATACTGGTTTGTTTAGCAGCGCTGCACTGCGTCCTGTCCTTCTGCTCAGCAGCGCTGCTAAGTCGCCAAGTGCGAAGGAGCACTTACGAGTATTTACTTTGAATGTTGCAAGTATAAGCATATGCTTCTTTTTATTTATATGGGCCATTAATGCCAATTTTTCTTTCGGTAGATCATGAAAAACTATGTTAATGCAAATTATCAGATTTCAATTATGAATGGAAGCCTAAATACTTTTAGGTAACGGTTTGCGTGAAAGACCCTGTATACCTGTATCAACATTTAATGGGGACATTGTAAAAAGAAACTTAAAACCGTGTGCTGTTCCTACATTGAACTTGTGGTCTGGGTTCCAACCAAATTTAACTTTCGTTTTCATTCCAACTAATCAATACCGAAATCCTAAGATATATGTGAACCCCAAAATCTGTTATACGAAAAAGGTATATGCATATTAATTATATATACCTACCGAGTCCCAAAAAAATGTTTCCCATAATGTCGCCTTGTGCACACGTAATATTTTTTAATGACATTGACGCTTATTGTTGTATCAATTAATCATTTACCAGACCCAAAATCTTGTATCGACCGTCCTAATCCTCCAGCCTCCAGCGAATTGAACAGATAGATCGCGACCATAGATCAATCTACATCAGGGAGAGCCAAAAGACACAGTTTAAAAATTTTTCCAGAGCCACTATAAATTTTCGATTCAATATTTATATATATTTGGTTATATACAGGGTCCTGCAACAGTGCGTCGGTCTTTCTTAGCTCACACTTGGTAAAAAAATTTTTAAAAATCTTTTGTGCAGATGTTAACTACCTGTAGTTGCGCGTCTACAGAAATTTTTGAACGTACAGGGTGTTCCATTTTTACGGTGTCGATAAACAACTGGTTTTTTGAAAATAAAACACCCTGTATATTTTTACTTGTTTCAATGTTGTTTGTTAACCTCTAGATTCACTTTTTGGTTTTTTGTTAACGTTGTCATCTTATTAATTTTTTCCGAATAAGAATTTCCCATAAACCTAGTCATTTTCATGAATCGTAGCCCCCTTGATTTTGAGAAATACATTTGATCAATAATAAATGTTAATCCGAGTAAAGGGTATCACTTTGATAATGAGAAACAGGGTGTTTATTTATTTATTTATTTTATTTATTTATTATCCCTCTCTTGGTCTGGGCCCTCAACAGGCTTGCGCCCAATTACAGAGTGACCCGCATAATGCTTTTTAGAGGTGCCTTTGCAGAAGGTCTTAAGTTGTTCTATACTACTCCGGTATTTACCTTATGAATTAGGAAAACTGCAGGAAAACCTAATTCGGAGTAGCCGGCAGAATGCTCGAAACTGGTCTAAGGCAATTCCCATCTCTGCCACAGATGAAAAATTCACCTCAACCCAGGTTCGAACACCCGACCTCCGGATTTATAGCCCAGCGCTCTACCACTGACCATAAAGCCGGTGTTCACACAAGGAAATAGTAAAATTTACAAACTTCAAAGTGCCATAACTATTCTTTTTCAGATGGAACTACTACTATTTTATTTCTCTATTCGATTGTCGTTTGTGTTCTCTTCACAAAAGTACCTACCCATTAATTAATTACATTATATACGGGATGAGTAGGCTGTCATAATAAAAAACAAAAGAATGCCAGAAAGTAAACAATAGTTGGCAAATTACCGTAAATGCGTTTCGAGAATGATTTAATTGTAACTTCAAACAACGTCATTGGTCCGCAACGATTTTTATTTTGATTTTTACTAAAAAGTTTTTTTAATTTTTGCTAATAATAGGTAGTCCACTTTTTTATACGCCCCATTGATACAAACTATAGGTGTTAGTATTGTTATAAATCTGTTGGTTTATTTTTTGACAACGGTCAAAAGTTAATTGAAATAAACTACACAAAAAAATCTGGCCAGTATATCACGGCTGAAATTAAAATAGAAATTAGCTTTTCCAACCGGCACGATATCGTTTACTGTACGTAAGGCGTACGTTTATATCTCGTTTTTATGCTCTCGTTTTAATACACTTGACCCTTTGTTTAATCGTGCATTGTGCAAAAAAATGCTCAGTATTTACTGCATTACATTTTAAAAGCAAACATACAGAAAATGAGGCGCATAGGCCGTCTTTGTGAGGTGCATTTGTCAGGAGCACGAAAAGCGTTTATCTCTTAACAAAACCTTTGGGACTTCTAATTATGCTATACTCAACAATAACTGTCAGCATCCTTTTACTTGTTGAATACGTAAAACATAACACCGCACAAGTAGCTGCCTTAATTTTAGAAGTATTTCAGTTGCACATTACGAACATTTCACGTTTACACCAAAGCAACTAAATCCGGGTCTAATCCAACTTCCAGGATATGGGTCGAGGGGGAGCTATATGTTAAAATGGTCCAATTATTTCCTCTCCAAATACGGTAATACCGGATTATTCCGCAATATGTTACTTTTTAGTAAGCTTTGTTTAATCGTACTGCATGTAAAGTCTTTATTTCATGTGTGTTGGCGCAAGGCCATTGTTAAAATCGAATTCGAAAGGGTTTAAGCAAATTGTAATTGCGTTAATATTAATTTGCCATTTTTAATACCTAAACCATTCGAGAGGATAAAGAAATTCCAGTATTGTCTCTAGTTAAATAGAATACTTACCAATAACTGTCAAGTTTATCGCAAAATTACGAGTAGGAGTGGTGCGAAAGTCTGCCCTGCAGCGGTAGAGACCTTCGTCGTCAAGTTGTACTCCATCCAATGTAAGAGCCGCAGGTTTTGCTACCGTCACAAAATAGGCACGTGGACCGAATGTATTCGGGTCGGACCAATGTAAAGCTTTATTAAATGCTCGTCCGCGAACATCGAAACTGAAACAGAAAACTCGCATTAGCTTTATTTGCACAATTTCGCAAGAGACCATGTTTAATAATAACGTAATTAATGCCTTCACCATCTATCATCGGTTAATCCAATAACTGGACAAGCACGCACCTGCTTCCTCCCAGTTCAATATTTTCAGGGGTTGTAAAACGTTCATTTCCACAAGTTCCGCGCGTAGCTAACCTTTAAGCAAAATTCTCTGCAGGCCACTTCTTAGACGGCTAATGACAGTGTCCCTCAGTGCGAATAAACAGAACAAACTTTTAAGGCAAAGGTCGTCCCCTTGCACAGAGATTAATGAAACTAAGCTAACAAAGGTAAACAACTAATTGCGAGCAGAATCGAGATGTGCGGAAAATTTGAATATTCTCCAAACTTCCAGAATGGGCAGCATTAACGTGTCGGTGGACCAATTTAATTTACGTGAAATCAGTACAGTAAATCAATTATATTGCAATGGAAATTCCTTTCAAAAGTAGCGTTAGAGAAAAAAAACCTAATAACATTCGATTCGATATTGGAATTGAGGGTAGGTATCACCGCAGTTCCATTTGTGCTGGTCGCGCTGCGGTGAGTGCTCTGTTGAACAAAAGTGTTGTTTCTATACAAACCTGGTTAACATTAATGAAGCATTTATGTGTATTGTGTATTCTCAAAATAAAATTGGGTGCATTGTTTTGTGCGTGCCACTAAGCGGCATCAATATCTATACGCTATTTTAATGACTGTCTTTATTTAAAATCTCTCATGATTATAGAGTCCGGATTTACATTTCTTTGTATATTTAATTAGCAAGATGAAACACATTTAGGTGATCACAAATCGTTTTAAAATGGAGTGAGCTTATAGAGTTAAAACAAAGTACCTAGTGCTTGCATATAAATACACGTTTTAAACGACTATATCTCACTTAATTTTTGTCGTACAGAAAATTCCCGGCGAGAGAAATGTTTGGCATTAAAAAAGCTACAATTGGATGTTCTAGCATTTTTTACAGATCTCCAGTTGTTTTGTAGTTATTTTGAAGGGACGGACGCTATTCACAAAATTGCAAAAATTCGTTTTTCACTTTTAGCTTTAATTATTTGATAATTAAGTCTTCTAAACTGGTCGCGCTTCTAGAATGTATTAATAATACGGAATTGGAAAAAACTGGAAAAGGGGAAGGACTAATTTTAATGAGGGTGGTAATTAGGGGGCTGCTTATTCGCTGAAAAAAGTACGGATCTAAATGCTAAAGTTTGTTTTTAGAAAAAGAAGAAAGGTTTTTTTAAAATAAAGAATATTCTACAAGTTTTTCTCGAAAAATGCAGTTTTGTCGTTATTTGACTGTGAAAGTCTAATTTAGCGTTTGACGAACAAAAGCTAACGTTTAACAAGCCAAAACTGAGTTCGTATAGGTCATACATCAATAATTATTAAAAAAATCAATTTTACATCAATAATTATTAAAAAAATCAATTTTCTTTGTTTTTTTAAAAGCTACGATTTTGTTCTCCGCGGTTTTTTTTAATAAATTGCATACTTTCCGAGTTTTTCGCTAATAACCAATTAAAAACATTGCTCTTTTCTATGAAAAACTCATACCTTCGGTGGCGAATAACATCGCATTATTTCTATCTGTCCGCAGTATATGGATGTACGTGTGCTATTTAATATAAACCCGATATGGGAAAATAACTTTAAAAATGAAGAGCAATGTAAAAATACTCTCGCGTTCATCCAACAAATTGGTATTGCAAACCATCTGTGATATTTTTTAAATTTTTGTCTTTATGTATATTTGTGTAGTAAATGAGTAAATGTAATCACGCCTGTCTTGTTTTGTGTGTACAGAAACTGTGATATTGTAGTAAGATAGTATAAGTATAAAGGCTAATGGCCATAGATGCCGAAGCCTCAGGTGGGGTTTTAGTGGGTATACCCGGATAATGGCAGAGTCCCACACTACTCCGGACTTCTATCCGGGGTGTGCGTAATGCATTTCCCCATCTGTCTAAAAAAAAAATAAAAAAAAATAAAAACTGGAGAAGTATTAACTTTCTAAAAAAAATGTATAGAACACTTTTTGCTTAGAATTAATTCTTCTATCTATTCCTGTATAATTATTACAATAACAAATTACGGCCCATGAGGTGGGGTGGCGGCAACCACCTCCAGGGGGAAAGCGCCCTTTGGCATGCTATAGATTTTGATCCTTAGGCTATTCCCTACCTACTGTCAAAATTTCAAGTTAATTTTTAATTTTGAAAAAATTGCCAGGGCAAAACCTTCATTTCCTGGACTATAATGGGAGTATAATGATTTAAATATTTGTATAGAAAACTGTTGTAGTTACGCTACTCATTATTGGGTACCAGCAGTCTTACGAAAAAAATTCTGTCCTTTACTATGGGTACTTCTCTTTTCAGGAAATCCCAGCCTTAACGAGCTCCTAGCGAGTTTATAATTTTGCGGTGTTGTCGGTTAGCGCGATATCTCGAAAACGAATGGACCGATTACGATGAAATTTAGCAGGTGCATTCTTTATCAAACTTGTAGATCGAACTTCGTGGATCGCCAAAAAATAAGGAAGGCCCTTTTGACATCTCCGTTAGTTATGAACCGAATTGCATGAAATTCAATATGGGCATAGCTTTACACGCAATACCAAAAGTTGAGTATAATCGATTCAACATTCGCAGTGCCCTTTTCGCATCTCGATCATTTATCAGAGTTGCACACTTTTTAGCGCATTTCTACAAAAATAAAAAAAATGCGCTATTGTGGCCACTTTGTCCGTCCGTCCGCTCGTTTTGAGACGCTACTAGTTTTTTATCTTAAGAGTTATTGTTCTACTTTTTTCGCTATTTGGTTCGTTATGGTGTCGAGTCTTGCACCAAGGAAGGAATTTTTTCTGTACCGCTTACAAAAAAGTTATTGTAAAAAAAACAAAAAACCGTTTTTTACATGTTCCATAATTTTACACTTTTGCCGTTTATTAACGATCCTAGAGATCGGTTATAATTTTGCATTGCTGTCTGTCGTCTGCCTTTTGGTCTGTCCGTCTGTTCCTTTGTCTGTCTGTCCCTCTATCTGTCCGTGTGAACGATAACTTTGTTTAGAAATGTCCGATCGCTTTGACATCTCCGTTAGTTATGAACTGAATTGCATGAAATTCAATATGGGCATATAGCCATATAATACGCAATGCCAAAAGTTGAGTCGAATCCATTCAAAATTCACAGTGCCCTCTTCGCATCTCGACCATTTATAAACCGTATTGCAAACTTTCTTATTTATAAAAGTATTTGAATGAAATTTGATACATAGGCACTTGGAATAAATGAAAATCTAACGCCAGTTTCAAAATTTGGTTTTGCGCATGCGCAGTGCCAACTTTCTTATTTATGGAGGGATTTCAATGAAATTTGATACATAGCCACTTGGAACAAAGGAAAATCTAACGTTAGCTTCAAAATTTAGATTTGCGCATGCGCAGTTCCAACTTTCTTATTTAGAAAAGCATTGCAATGAAACTCTTCTTATAAACTGAAATTGAAGTAGCACGTCAGAACTGGATTGCACATGTGCAACGCTATCTTTCATATTTGTGGCCGGATTTTTACAATTTTAACAAAAGTTGCATCTTACAAATGAATGCAAGTGGAAATGCGCTATATGTAAATCGTTTACGATTACTTTTTAACTTGTTTACTTATGAAGATATTTAAATGAAATTGATATATGTATAGGCATTTGGAATAAAAGCAAATCTAACACTAAGTTCAAAATTTGGTTTTGCACATGCTATAGCCAGCTCGTTTGCTATATTTGTTTACACGTATGGCTTACAAACCTTAATGTCTCAATACCAATGATTTAATAACGAATGCTGAAAAATACATACACAACAATTATTTTTAATATTATTTTGACTGAAGTAGTGACAACCTATAGACTAGTTTTGAGGATGTTAGAAACTAACTGGGCTAAAATTAAAATGCGCAATTTGCGAAATCTAGACTATAACAGAAATAGTTATTGAATTGTAGAACACATCCATGGTAAGTAAATTATGATCCACAATAACCATACTATTGCCTTGTTTAATTTGTTGCATACAAATTTTCTTTTAGGGGACTGTAATTCGCATTTAGCATATTGTAATGCTTTGTAAGTCTTTTATGTTTGATACATACAAGGAAATTACAGTCTTAAGATTCGCCGAAAATTTTGTCAATTTATATCGTTAGAAAAGTGTAATACATAGCAACCTATTGTCTTAGATTCTGAGTGTAACTAAGAATAATTGATTTCGTAATGGTCGCCCCACTAATGTAGGTCGACCAATGCTCTACAAATAAGCTGCATGCCAATTCGGCGAGGTAATAAACACAGGCAGGCGAACTACGGCAGGCATTTCAAAAGATTTACTACTTATAAACTAAGGCCTTAATTTATGAGTTTACATTTAATTTATTTGCATGTTTTTATGAAGATTTATACTTTATTTTATGCTTTTTACGAAACGCCGCGAGTGAAACTTGAACTGGCTATTACCGTATGGATAAAAAGACATTCTAATCACAACGGTAGGACGAGCAATAATCCGTTAAATGGTGATTTGACGCGTGCTTGAACTTCACGAAAAGCAGTAACCATAGCGGGATATTCCAAGTGTTCTTCGGGCGCCTCTGCGGACTTGAAAGTCAAATTATCCACTTCGGAAAGGAAGGAAATTAACAATACAATAACGAGACCGCAACTTACCTAACCTCTCAAACTTGAAGTTCATTCAATTGCAGAGGAGAGAGGTCTACACAAATAACCAGGCGGCGAGGAATAGGAAACTGGAAGGGGGTATTCATTCTCTTAACGGTACATAGTTTTAACTAAAGGGCCTAAAGTTTCCGGGGAACCGACTTGTGTAACAGAACTTAATATTCACGTTAGGCCATTTAATTAATAAGATTTTTAGTTGAATGATTACGTCCTAATTGGAGTTGGTCTTCTTTGTATTCAATTTCCGGTTACGTCATGACGTTGGCATTGCTATGTCTATTAGATGATTTTAACAGGTAAATTTCCTCGTAGCTAGTGCTGTATAAGGATTTATCAAATTGCGGATGTGAACTTAATCACGTTAGACCGCGTATCTATTCATACAGATGTTGATTTCAAATCCTGTATCATTTATGAGAGAATGACAATAATTTCGCTTTTAATCGTATAACTGTCCTGATACCGGTCTTGCCGTTTATGAAACATTTCCGTTTTAAGAAAAAAAATGCCATTGGGTTTACCAAGAAAAAGTACTACGAAAATATATGGTGAATTTTCAAACAGCATTGTAACCGACACATTGGCGAGAAATGTTATTGCAGAGAAAAGCGTTTAGATATGTGGGAACAAGCCAATCTATGGAAACCCACTGTAGAGCATACCAACAAAATTATTTTAGATTGGTGGGACAGACAAGTGAATGTTGACCTACACGATATAGTCTTACTAATAATTAATTTAGAAGGCGATTCAGATGAAGATGATATTTTTGGAACTTCCCACAGAGCACACTTTATTTCAGACATATTCCTGAAACCTTTCATAGTTCCATTTATATTACATTTCAAATATTAGTTTCAGAAATATTTCTGTAATCTTTCATTTGTTTCCTTTATATTGCATTTCAAATATTGGTTTCAGAAATATTTCAATACATGATAAATGATACATTTTTTGTAGAATCTTTTAGGGATGTTTCAGGGTGGTTTCGTTCGAAATATTAGACATTTTTTTAAAAACTAAGAAAGGTTTTCGTAATTTTAGCGCCTATTTGAAATGTAATATAAGATGTGCACGTAGATGTGCCTACACATTTTGAATTTATCTGTTTTCCTACGTAGGCGCATGGCGCAGTAGGTATTTTGATATCGTTTATTCTTGCTTGCTTTCTTTGTCTGACATTTGAAACTAAGTGAGGTTATATAACACGTAGGCTCCCGTCAAAGTGGTAAGTTTGGTTTCGTTTGATTTTGTGTTTTTCGAAATGAATAAAAAACGTACAAGTATTCAGTATAGCGATAGGCATAAAAGACGTATGATTCAGAGCATCACAGATGTCGAAATGGAGTATTTGATATCTTTGAGCGATGTAATAGAAACTGCTCAGAGGCCTCAGATTCAAACTGAAACTGCGGTAGTTCTGCCTGAACAAAACGATATCACAGTATCAAGTCAGCAAGTGCTCAGCGTGCCTAGCTCGGTGCCTAGTTACCCATTAAATCTCCCCGACGATCAAACTTCCTTCGTTTCAGAAGTTCCCGAAACTACACTGAATGAATATCGAACATACGGATTACACCCTCCCGACGAGCAAACTTCCTTGGTTCTAGAAGTTACTGCAGAAGAACCGAAACAGTTGTCAATTCAGGACGATTTGCATCAGTGGGCTGTCAATTTTAATATAAATCAAAATGCACTGTCCTCACTTTTGGTTACTTTACGAAACCATCATACAAATTTAGACTTGCCAAGAGATAGTAGGACTTTAAAAAACACCTAGGAGGTGCAATATAATCTCTATAGGATGTGGAAAATGCTGCCACTTCGGTTTCGAGCGAATCATTAGTTCTATTGTAAATGAACGAATTTGTAATAAACTTGAGGATGATACTATTGTGGATTTATTAATTAACATTGATGGCCTATCCGTTATCAAGGTCCAGTACAGCGTCGTTGTGGCCTATTCTATGTTCAGACACTCTGTCAAAAAAGGTGTTTATCGTCGGAGCTTATTTTGGTACTCAAAAGCCAGAAAGTGCAAAATGAATATTTAAAGCAGTTTGTGGAAGATGTGAGCAAACTCATAATTGATGGTTATGAGGTCGGTGGGAAGGTTGTAAAAATTCGATGTGTAGCCTTAATATGTGATGCACCTGCCAAAGCTTTTGTACTTTGTGTAAAAGGACACGGTGGATATAATAGTTGTACAAAATGTACTGTGGAAGGTACTGGAAAACAGGGTATGTTTTCCTTTCGAAGTACAGCCATCGGCCAAGCGAACAGATGAATGTTTTTTGAAGAATATTTATGAAGACTACCAATTAACAGAAACAGTTCTGCGTTACATTCCTCACTTTGGTTTAGTATTTAGAAACAAGGTTAATAATTATTTGTTCTTATAGCTTATGTTAATGAAA